AATAAACTTAAAACATCAAATAACTGCCAGCTATCAGATATTTCAATCCTCAATTTACTGTGACTTTTTTTTCTGAGGCATATTTAGAGAAATGGCTAAAGGAACTGTAATGGCCTTCTGGGACAGGAAGACTAAGGTTTCAGTAAAAAATGTTAAATTAATTTTTATAGTGATGCAAAGTCAGGGAAGGGTTGTTAAGGGATGGCCTCTTGCCACAGGGTGGAGTTTTGTTATGGTATCCTTTTAGAGTCTGCAGGTGTTTGGCAGGAGCTGAAATCAGGGCCAGCTGTGATATTTCAGCTCAGATATTTCCCTCCCCATATTTCTCAGAAGTGATGCATCAGGATGATGTCTTACACCTGATGTACTCAACTTGTGTGGTATGACTGGAACTGTTGGGGGGGCATGGGGGAAGTGCCACTGCATGGTTTCCATTTTATTTTCAGCTGACAACATTCATATAGTAAAACTCATCAACATGAATGGATTTAATAAGTAAAACTCCAGATTACAGTTTAATAAACAGGCCATTTTTTTCCTGAGTTGTTTTGGTGCTTCCTGTATTACAGCAGCCATTTAATTAAAGTAAGAAAAGGACACTCTATAAAAGAATGTGGAAAGAAATTACAGTGCAAAAAAAGGCAAAGGCAATGTTCTAAAGAAGAACAAAACACCTTCAGTCACCTCACATAACCAGCAAAGATCTTTGTTCTTGCATACTTAGCTGCAGTACAGTGTGTACCTGGTTTGGTTTTGTTTTATCTTTTGGGAGAATTTGAATAGTTTCTATTAAAAATGGTATTCTCTTTTAAGTTTGTTTTGTTTGGAAAGCTTCAAAACACATTGTATTTCATACACATATTCCCCAGTGTATGTAAAATGGGACTATACTGAGGTCACTCATAAGATTTTCAAATGTTTTAAGAATTCTTTTAATGTTTGTACTATCTTGGCCTGGTTAAAAGAGCACTTTTTTTTTTTTTAATAGTTTTTAAGTTTCATTATATAAATTTTCACAGCCTATACTGTTCTATTAGGCATTTGTAAGAACTTTCACACACATTGCTTTCTCCCTCACATTTTTAAGAAATTTGTTCCCTTAACTAGTCAATCTCCTTTTTCTCTCAGCCGTTTTCTCCAAATATGCACAAGTACACGTGTACATCTCTCCACAGACTGATTGACTTACCAGTACAAATGCCTTTGGTATTCATTTTAACTTAACAAATGAAGAAAAGATTATAATCAGTGGGAAAAGTGGACATTTAACTCCATTCATGGAAAAACAGTATCACCTGGCACTCCAACTGAATAAGAAATTTCCTGGGTTTTGGCAGCTCACTTGGAGTACAACCGAAGCTGTTAATGATATTAGTGAAACGTCTTGGGATCAAAAAAATATGTTGTTTTATCTCAGTTTATAGAAGGAGTTATATAAGGCACTCCCAGCTTTCAGAGCTCTGTGGTCCTTTTAGTTAAAATAAAATTTGAAAGCACAACCAGCTTGTAGCCAATTGAGTTCCATTAGATTATTTCGATCACCTCCTGTAGTTCTTTCCCGCTACTTCCTCACACGTGCTTCTAGCCATCCCTTGCATTGCTCCAGCCCCCTCCCCAGACTTCTGTCTTCATCTGGTCCAGCCTAGAGCATCCTTTACAGCACTGCTGACAGCTGAGCTGACAAGTGCATCTTGGTCACTAACAGTGCAAGACTACAATGCAAGGTGTTTGCATTATGGATATAAAAATCCAAAGATGAAGGAGGAAAATAATGGTAATAAAGGAAGTAAATAAAATGTTTAGATCCAATCTTGATGATAACACACAAAAAGGAAGATGTTAACTAAGGTTGTGTGTTATTTATTAGAATTAGATAAGAGTTGGGTGAAATTGAGCTATCACTGGGTTTGATGGTTTTACGGACTCTTCGCAATGGTTGAGAGCAAAGGGTGATGAGAAGCAGTTAACTGTGCTATGATCAAACAGTGTTACAGAAAATTAGAGTTTAACGTGTCACACAGTATCAGTATGCATGGTTATCATATGCAAATTGAATGACATCTTCTTTGAACTGTATTTTCTGATCTAAACTGAGTCTGAGAAAACCACATTAGAATGTCAGCACTGGGAAGAATTATTACAAAGTTTTCATACTTGATGAAAATCTGGGTTCAGGCTTATACATAAGAAAATGGGTGGATTGATGAATAGGTGGATAAAGAATTGGTTGGATAGTCACATCCAGAGGTTATGGGTGAATGTCACAGTGAGATGTGATATTGGTGACAAGTGGTCTCCCTCAGGCGCACTTACTGGGACCAGTGCTATTTAACATCTTCATCAATGACAGACAAAAGGATCGAGTGCATCCTCAGCAAGTTTGCAGATGACAAGCTGAGTGGTGCAGTTATCACACCTGAAGGATGGGATGCCATCCAAAGAGACTCTCACATGCTTGAGAACTGGGCCCATGGGAACATCACAAGTTCAACAAAGTCAAGCCCAAAATTCTACACCAGGGTCAAGGCAACCCTCAGGATCAATATGGGCTCGGGCATGAGAAGATTGAGAGCAGCCCTGCTGAGAACAAATACAGGCACCTGGTGGATGAGAGGCTCGACATGAGCCAGAAATGTTTGCTTGCATTCCAGAAAGCGAAACGTGTCCCGGGCTGCATCAAAGGAAGTGTGACCAGCCCATCAAGAGAGAGATCCTCCCCTTGTACTCTGCTTTCATAAGATCCCAGAGGAATGCAGTGGAGGTGATCAGAGGGCTGGATGGAGCACCTCTGCAAGAAGGAAAGGCTGAGAGAGCTAGGAATGTTCATCCTGGAAAAGAGTAGGCTCTGGGGATTCCCTGTTGTGGCCTTTCAGTACTTCAAAAGGGGACTATAAGAATTTTTAGCAGGACCTGTTTTTAGGACAAGTGTTAATGACTCTAAACTGAAAAAAAAAGGTTAATTTAGATTAGCTATAATAAAGTTTTTTACAATGATGGTCAGAAAACACTGAAACAGCTTGCCCAAATAGATGGTAAATGCCCCATTACTGAAAATATTCAGGATCAGGTGGGATGGGGCTTCTGGGCTATCCAATCTTGTTGAAGATACCCCTGCAGATTGCAGGGCTGTTGGAGTAGATGACCTCACAAAGGTCCTTTCCAACTCAAAATATTTTATGATTCTATGAAAATTCTTGCTGTGATTAGAGTATGTTCTTGTTGGTGGGTGCTGGTTTTCTAGAATACCTGGGATTTCATAGTGCAGAGGATACCTAGATTACAATCTCTCAGGGATAAATTTCTTCCCCAGTCAGACAGTCTGTCTTTTTTTTTCCCTGCTTGCTTTGAAATGAGACTAATCTGTGAGAAAACGCTACTTTCAGAAATGAAATTAAGATACAACATGCAGCTATGCACAAATATTGGCATTAAATTTCTAGTAGCATTGTCAGGTGCCACGTATTTCAAAGGGTGAAGAAAAAAAGGCTTTAAAACAATTTCATGAGGAAGATATTAGCATGCCCCTTACAGAGAAATATTTCAAAAAACATGCCCTATCTAACTTCAAAGCACCATGGTACCTTTTATTGATAGGTTAACTATATCAAGTAATAACCTGACACGTACATATAAACAAGATTTATATATAATATAATATTATATACAAGAAAATGTTATTTAGGTGAATTCTAACAAGAGCAAGGTAGCCAAGATAACCAATTTGGGAGGTAATAGCCCATGACATATAATGTTTTAAAAACAGTCTCTTTCAGAGTAGACTCAACTTCTTAAAATTCACAGCATCAAAAAAAGCACGGAATATTTTTCCAATGTTGCCCCAAGCAGAGCCAAGTCTGAGTAAAATACTCTTGCTGTATGTTCTTCAAAGCCCAATCTTAATCCCTGTGAAAGTTATGAAGTGAAAAATTTGGCCCATGCATATTTTATGGCATGATACTACATAATTTGAAGGAGAAAGAGCGTATTTATTTAATAAAAAAATATTCTTTCCCTGCAGTCACCTAACAAATATTATTTTATGCCTCTAAAACATAATATTTATAACAAACATTTATTATAAATATATTTTTTTATGACAGGGATTGCTTTGCTGCTCTTATTTTCCCAACACTGCAATCACAATCGCAACAAACACTTCTGACAGCAGACATGGACATGTACAAAATCAGAAGAAAATATCAAAACAGTCATTGATCAATCATTTTTTCTTGTGATTCTCTTTAGTAAAAATCATCTTAGAGGAGATTCATCACACACTAGAACAGCCATAAAATATTCAGTTGCAGTACTCAAGACAGCATAATTCAGTTTATCTTGGGCCCTTTAACACTTCCTAAGCCAGAGAGTCAAAAAGCAAGGAAGGCATCAGGGAATATAAAGATAATATAACTCTCCAGATACTAAAGTATAAAAATATTGTCTATAATTAAGCATAGGTGTAATCCAGTGCAATATTTAGAACAGATACAGAGATGAACTGGTTTTAGCTACTGAAACCACCAGGCCAAGAAAAGTTTTCTTTCTTTATATGGATTTTGTGCTTCATTTTTCTTTTTCCAATCAAAATGTTGCCCATTTTTTTTTTTCAAACAGAATTGATTTTGGTTATCCATACTCCATACAAAAAAATTAGTTCTTTCAGAGCGCAAAAAAAGTGCTTTTCTGCATATTTATGCGATAAAATGCAACTACATACAATATTATGGTTTCTTTCTCTGTTTTACCAGCCCGTTTTGAAATATACTCTCAATGTGAGACAGGGAATACCTATGCTTTAATTTGTTTTGACAACATCTGAGTTCCCAAGCACATAATTCATTCAAACATCTGTATTTATTTCTTAATATGACCTACTACTGGCTGAAACGCAATCCATCATGAACCTCTCAAATCCCATGTTAAAGTAGCCAAACTCCGGTGTGAGTGACACGTGTAAGACTTGTGTAATAATGTACAGAAGAGATTTGGTGAGGACCAACCTGAGGATCTGAGAACACTTGCTGCATGTTGTTGATTGGGCCATATGGAACCCCACTACCTTCAAAGATCTGCAACCACTCGATCGTTGCTTTTTCTGAAAACCTAAGAGCAAATAAAAATAAATGTGATTTAAACACTGTACTTTCAGATTCTAAGGAATGTATAGCATGTCTCCCTTCTCTTTCTGCTTCCATACTCCTCTCCATTGATTTCTTCTCAGTCAGTGAATAAAATAACAAACATGTACTACCTATGTTCTTCAGAAATGCAAAACCCAAAGACATAAGGGAAAGAATATGTCTGAAAGAACTTCTATCTGATCATCTGATGCAATGCAGGAATGATGTAAAGCTAAATTTATCATCAGTTTCAAATAAGGATCAATGGGTTTCCTCCCTTCCTTAATTATACTAATGTGCTTCACATTTGTTTCCCATTATGTACATATTTAACAACAAAAAGATGTAGTGCAAGTACCATACAGTACTGCTCATTAAAAGCTGATGTAAAGCACCATCAAAAACATACATCAGGATTAAAAACCACATTTTTAGGTCAGATAACAAGACTGATCACATATTTATTAGTTGTATGGTTGTACAACTTATCCTAAGAACACCCAGTTCAGCATATATACACAGTGCCTGTATGCTGGTGAACACATTGCTCCAGGTCTTTTATCACATGCAAAAAGCTTGTTTTATTTCTTTCTAAGCATTCTATTTCATAACTAGCAACACCACTCTATTTCCCCTGTTTTGCTAGATAGATTTTCTTTCCTCACCTGCCTAGTGAAGTTGCATAGAAAGTTTGAAGTGAAGTTTGAAGAAAGCACACTGTTGAAATACCAGTCACTGAGAGATGGTATTTTCTGCAGTCATTTGGGATTCTGAATCAGAGGTGAACTTACTTGCAGATAATATTTTAAGTTTCAGGAAGATAAATAACAGAGGTCTACCAGTTTATTAGAAATCAAAGACTGACTTCATGATAGACCCAACACTGAAAAGAAATTAGATGTGATTTAAAGACTAATGGAAACTAAATTAATAGAAACCTTTAAAAGGGACACTCAATTACTGGTATTCTATAGCTCTCAGTTTGCTGTTCCTTAAGAATAATTTGGAACAATGTCAGTAAAACTCAGCTTTACTTCCAGCACAAAATATGGATGGCCCTTTCTCAGAGCTAGCAAATTTATTCATGAAGTCAACAAGCAATTCTAGAAGAAATGGAAGGAGTGATAAAAAAAAATCAAAATAAAAGGCCTTAAAATTTCAAAATGTATTCTAAAATGAAGCAAGACTCATGAAGAAACAAAGCCTAATGCAGCATAGCTTCTAAATAAAACAGATATAAGAATACTGCAATGTACTTCACTGAATATTAAAGTCATTTCATGGTAAAGATGTAGTAAGCCATAAAGACAGTGCTACTGTTAGACCCATCTAGGGTCTATCTAATTTAGTACTCTGTTGTAGCCATACAACATAGAACCAGGTACATTGCAGGAAACTGGGGAAAAAGGTAACTCGAGCAAGGCAGATAATTTTCCTTCCTCAGTGATTGCAGGTATTAACCATGATTTTAGTCTGAAATACAATCTGTATTTCCCTTCAGTACTCTTCATTCAACAACAGTTCTCATAATCTTTATATTCTTGTTATTCGTAGCCTTCTAGATTGGGGGCTCAAACTACTGCACAATGTAAATAAGATTTGCAGGAAAAACAGTTTCCCTTCAGTTACAGATGTTGTTTACATAAAATTATGCTGTTCCCTTCTAGCAACAGAGATGCTTCATATTTCATAGCTCACTAAATCCCTTGTTATAAATTGAAAGCTTTTTTCATCTACTACTTTTTGACACTTCAAATTCTACTATCTCATTTCTAACAGGACAGGACAACTGAAGAGGAATCCTGGACTCAACTTCATAACCATGGTGCTGAAGACCATCACGAGGAAATGATTGTAATTCTCAATGTATGTATCTCATTCAATTGATCTGTTAGTAATTAATAAGTCATGTTATGTTCCTGCACTTCTTTTTAAGAAAGAGTTTATAAATATACTCCTGAGTCTAAAAAAACCAAAATTTTTGCATTTAAAGGATAGCCTGAAAATGAAGTCTTTTCAACCGAAGTGTCTGTAATCTATATCTGCATAACCAGCAGACTACTTTCTGATATTGTGGTAAACTTGAATAATTTTCAAGACATTGTATTCTTCTTCAGTTACACCACTGTGAGTGACTTAACATATAGTGGAATTGTATATGTATACGTTAAGCAAAATTTCTGTCATTCTGTATGAATTTCTACAATTTAAGGTTGCACTTAGGTTTTTCCTTCCTACATAACAGAAAAAAAAAACCCTACAATTTTGTAAAAAAACAAGAGATTGTCTATTATTCTCAAGGGACACACACAGCATTTCTTCTTGAAATTGAAGCTCTGTCGAACTCTGATGTAGAACTGCTTCCTTTATTTGTGTTAAAGAGGCTGTTGAGAACATATTGTTAAGCAAACTGTTTAAAACAAAAACAGAACACCACCACTGCCAATAAAGGTCTCGTATTCAGATTTTGAGAGCAACAGCATGGAACTATTTTGCTCATTCAACTATGTTTTATATAATGAAACATCTGCTGTACATCATTAAGGGAGAAATACTGTTTCAAAATCTGATAAAATATAAGGCATGGATAAAAAAATGTTAATTTTTACCTCTGATGTCAGCTGTACAAACTTAAATTTATTTTTTTTTACCAACCTGTATGTATTATTCCCCTAACTAAATACAATTTGTGATAATACTTGCACAAATAAATACTATAACCATTACTTAAAGTGAAGGGCTGATGTCTAGGTTGCTAAGTATCCATTAACAATATGCTCAGCACTCCCAAATAACAAGAGAAGACCCTCAGCAAAAACTTCCAAGAAGTAGAAGACTAACGTTCTCTCCCAAAAATGAAAGCTCAGCCAGCAGGAATTTAGAGGGTTTGGCCAATCCTTTTTCTCTTAATATATTTTAAAATGTCTTTCTATGCTTTTTCATTGTTTTTTTAATAAATATCTTACTTTGTATATTTTTCAGTTAAGAAAAAAGAAAATATTAACTTACTTTATACATACACATACATAAATAAAATCACTCTGATGAAAACACATACAAGGCTAAACAATGGTCCATCTTCCAAAACTGAGCTATTAGGAAAAAAAAGGAATCCAAGACTGTAGAGCACCTGAACTCTGAAACATGACACTTGCAAGAGGATCTTTACCTCAGAGATACTCAGTGACTGCAGGAGAGCTCAACACTGCTTACACTACAACTTCATTTATTTTCAGAGGAGTCACTCTTCCTATAAAATGCTCCATCTGCCACATATATATATATAATCACACAAATGCTCTCTAAATTACCTGTGGTTTATTTATAGAGATATTTTAAACCTGTAGCTTAGCTTTCTGCAATTACTACCAGTATTTTAGAAGTTCAAAAATATTTGCTTTTTACTGTAATACTTTGTGATATGAAGGTCAAATTCAGGCTCTTTCTGAAAGCACCTGTGAGAAGGAAGGATATGTACCCCAATGAAGAACAAACCCATTGCTAGGACATTTACTGCAAAGCCTGAACTGAGGCTCAGTTTCTGAAGAGGTCAAAGTCTCCATGATGCCTTATTTGCGTTTTAAGCAGTACTAAGCCTCCTCTGCACTCACGAAGATACTAAAGTTGCAGTATTGAAATGAGGTATTGAATTGAAATTGCAGAACATTTAACATCAAATACACTTCATGCTTTACAATATTTTAAGAATAGAAAGTGTGGCATAAGCTGAACTAATTGAAATTGGAAGAAATCCAACGAAATATATTTTTCTTCAATTAGTAAATCTAGCAGGCATCATTAAATGAAAACATCTAAATTTAAACTATACACTCAGCAAATTCATCAAAAAAATTACAGCACAATATAAGAAAAAACCTCTAAAAGGCAAAAAATTAATTATAAAATAAAAAGGTTTTACATCTTGTTTTCTTACATAAACTACAAGTGTGGTGTTTCTTCTTGAAAAGCAGGATCTACATTCACTTTTCCTTTCTAACAAATTCTAATTTTAAAAAAAAACTAAGCAATCCATCGTTACATGTAAAACAGAAAAAGAACGTCTGCTTGCCTTGTGCAAGTTATATTAAATGGCTTTAATGTGTTCATATATTTTAATAGCACTTAGGTGAGTTTCTAAGTTTCTCATTCTGATAATTATTAAAATAAAATGTGGTGGTTTTTTTAGCAATATGTTGTCTTTCAATGAAAGACTTTAAAAGTTTCAATGAATCTACTTTGAGTGTATTCCATTTTCTATATTTCCTAGGAAATCTTCAATCCTTGCTACATCCTGTGTGGAAGGGCAACCATGTTTCTGTAATGGATAAAAACATCCAATTCTGCACAAAGTTTAGAACTACTGAAGCAAAATACTGCTCTTTTCTATAGGAAGCTTATGGCAATTAATTTAGAGAAGTAATTTGGACAGCTAGCAAATACAGATGGAACAGCAACCTCTAGGATTAGTAAGAGCTTTTTACATGTGGTCAATCACAAAAAGTTCCCCTGTTCTTGCTAAAGTCCACAAGAGCATTCCTGTGTTTTCTAGAACAACCCAAATCTGCATAATAGTTTTTGCTTCATTTTGTTCTATCAACAGTCTCTTCACTCCCAAATACCTATGATATTTTTTCTCTTCACTACCAAACACCTCTTCATTGTAGTTAAATTAGTAAGAGAGCTGGTACAGTTTCTTACAGTAGCATCTATGGAAGACAGTATAGAAAGCAAAAGCCCTAGAAAATACTTGCTTGGAAAACTCAAAGAACAGTTCACTGTACACCTTTAGTGTACAGTGAATACAGAATTAGTGTTTTCAAAGTGAATACTACAGTATTTACTCAATAGTGTGTAAATATCTCTGTTAGTGTCTACTCTTCTGTTACTGGTGAATCACTGGGAGAACCACAATGGACAAAATATTAAGATAGTTATGATCCACATGATTGTACAGGTTTTGCTGAGAGATATTTCAAATACTTT